AGAGAAGCCTGTAGGCTGTGATTGTTGGTCGTCGATTTAGAAAAAAGTAACGGAAAAGTAACGAAAAGTTACTTTCTCAGGTAACGGTAACTGTAACGAGTTACTTTTAAAAATCGGTAACTAGTAACGGTAACTTGTTACTTTTTCTACTCAGTAACGAGTAACTGTAACTTGTTACTTTTAAAAAGTAACTTTCCATTCCCTGACATACACACACAACATACTACTTACAATGCATAACAATACATAAGATATAAAATATAGATATATTAACATCTTCTATTTCGTTCATTTTATTATTATTCTAGATAAACAAATTTACAATGACTTGTTGACAACAAAATGAAATGATGAACTTTATCAATTAATATTATCGAATTTAGATGTCGTAAATGTCACATTGAAAACTCTATACTAATACGGAGTTTTATTAGTTATGTAATTATAAAGCAGTATAATTATTATAGTCAAGGTTTTATTCGGCTTGGTGCTGTCTCTTTTGGTGCTAAATGGAGTTGAACCTAATTGTAACGAGGTTTTGTATTTAGAAGAGGGACAAACGTATCAACTATATAACTATCCGAAAGAAAACAATTGCACTTGGCAATTTTACAGCCCCATTAGTTTCGAAGCAACTTGTTATATTGATATAGTAAGTTTGTTATATAAATTTTGTTTGAAATTTGGACATATTATACACATATATATATTTCAATTAGATTTTTAAGCATATTATAAAAATTTTATTCAAGTTTAGAATTTGTATTATTATAATCATTGCCAAAGTTGTTAGTGAAGGACAAAAAGAACGCGCATGCACAAATAATTTAATAAATTATTTTACAGGACTGTAATGAAAATGGACTTCGTGTTAATGATGAACGTTCTACATTTATCTTCTGTGGTACTAATCCATTTGCTTTCGAAGGATTTAATTCATTTATTACTATAACATTTGTCTCGCCATTTAATCCAGGTCAATTTATGTGTGAAATTGAAACTGAAATTGAAACCTCCTGTCAGTGTGGTAAGAAAAAAGTGGTAAGTTAAATTAAACTTTAGGAAATGCTACACTTATTTATTGGAATGTTTTGATTTATTTCGTATTTGTTGCTTCACGCAAAAGAAAATAGATTGAGTGATACAGCAAAGCTACAGCTTACTGCGCGAATTCAACATCTATACATTGAAAAAAAATATAGTCAATTTTAATAAATATTTAGTTGAATACTGCCAACTAAATATTTATTAAATATAAAGATATATTTATTTGATACAAGAAATGTCAATTTGAATTAACAATCTTTTTTTTTACTGAACAAATATTTATTTACTGTAAGTAAATGTTTAGTTGGCAGTATTGAACTAAATATTTATTAAAATTGACTATATTTTTTTCTCAGTGTAACTATAAAAAAAATTTGCTGGTTTAACAAATCGCTAATATTATTCAGTTGTCAACTTCGCTACTTTAACAAGAAAACCGTCTGTCCGTATATTATGACAGTAGATTTATTAAATCAGTGAAATTTTTAGTTTTTTTCCGTATTCTTTGTAATTTGGCTTTAATCAACTATGTAACAATTTATTAAAAATAGTAATTTGTTCAGTATTAATAAATATTATTTATATTGCTTACTGATTGTTAGACTAGAATAGTAGGCGGTGAGGAAACTGATGTAAATGAATTTCCTTGTATGGTAGGATTTGTTAACATACGTACAGATCCTAATATAATTTACTGTGGTGGTACTATAATATCTGAACGTCATATACTAACAGCAGCGCATTGCGTACACAACATAACGATTAATGAGACTGTCGTAGATATTGGCGAACATGATACAAGCACAGGTAATTGTTGATAAGATATACACATCTAAATAATATTTAAAGTCTATAAATATTTGAAAGACATTAAGCAAATGAAATTTATGATTACAGTTGCAATAATGTAAAATTAATTTGAACAACTATTTTCTGCTTATAATACAAATTTATTTGAAAAAGTTAATGGTATAAAACTTTTATAATTTTTTGTTATTAGAAAAAAGATGTTTTCATAGGAAGGGAGCAAATACTATTTTTAATTTTTTTTATTTATAATCATAAATATAGTACTTCATTCTTTACTGAATTGAAACTTTTTATTCAAAGTTACGAGGGATGAGTCGCTAATAATGAAGTAACATTTAATACAAATAGAGTTTAAAACATTATCATTTATATGTAAAAAATAATGAATGTAATGAAATAAGCATCATTTGTTAATATAAGATTTTTATAGTATAATATAAGATACATATGAATTTAATATCGGAGTTTATATTAAATTTGTACATTATACTTTGCGGATAGGTCATGATACCAATGCAACCGAGATATATAAGCTAAACAAATGTATGATTCATCCTTACTATGATATGAAAGAGACCGATAATGATATAGCTATTTGTGAGACTGCTAAAAGCATCAAATATAGCGCTGAGGTTGGTCCGGTATGCTTACCATTTAAGCATAAAAACGACTCGTTCATTGATGAAAGCGTCACTGCGTTGGGTTAGCATTTCCTGAGTATTTTCATAGTTACTATAATATAATTATTTGTTTTAACATCATTCAATCTTTAGGCTGGGGTTTACTGGAATTTCTCGGCGAGAAACCCGTTACGCTCCAAAAAGTAAATTTAACTGCAGTATTATGTGAAAAATACTCAAATAGTAAAATATGTACTTTTGCTCCGGGAAAGGATACGTGTCAGGTGAAGAATTAGTTTCTTTATTGTGAATTGAAAATATTAATTAAATGTACAAAATGTATTTTTCAAGAATTGTGATGCAAAAAACTATCTTTAAATAATAGATTTCTTTTTTTTCTGTTTGTGTAACCTAGATGGATAGTGGCGGACCTGTTTTATGGCAAGATTCTATCACACATAATTTAGTATTGATTGGTATTATAAGTAAAGGTATCGGCTGTGCTTCAGGTGAACCTGGTATAAACACACGTGTAGGTACTTATATCGACTGGATAGAATCTGTAACTCAAGGTAAGAGTCGGCGAAAAGGCGAATTAGATGTATGAAAACTGTATCATTGTAAAAGAGGATTGATGTAATATGTACCGTTATTTTTATTATAGGCGTACAATATTGCAAAATTGAATGAGCCTTGCATGGTTAAAAATAAGAACCGTTTTAAAAGATTATGGACCTCTGCTGACGCTTTATTATATGTATTTACTATTATACACTTTTAAAAATATGTATAATATATATTTTAATTATATCTGCTAATACACATTGATATATACATATATAAATATATGTGTCATGTATATGTGAGTGTAATGTATACATCGTGTACTCGCGCACGCACGCGCTCGCACACACATGTACACACACACACATGTGCGTAAAATATGTATAATGTAGATGTATAAAATTTCAATTATATGTTTTCAATATTCAATTGTATCTGCTTTAACATATAAATATTACAAACTTGAGCATAACTAATTATTGTTTATCATTTATTGCTATTTTTGCCATTTAGAATTATATGTTTTTATCTTTTCGATCCATTCCTCTCACGATTAAAATTTATTTGTTTGAGTTTGAAATTCTGGTGTCATTTTAATTTTTTTGAGAGGGGGGTAGCTTAACAGATGTAGTGCGAAGTCAATGTGAAAAATTCACTTTATGAATACTAAAACATAATGTTTAAAGGGACAGGTTTATAAAAATAGTCTTTTATTTTTACATTACTAATACATTTTCTATACAAATTATTTAAATCTTTTTTAATAGAAATTGGAATAGTTTTATAATTATATTATTCTATAATGTTTAAACAGATTATTAAATATGTATTAAAATTTTAATCTTTATTATATAAAAGAACTAGAAGTTTTTTCTCTATGTGCCCTTTGAGCGGAGATATTGCGATGCAAATCTCTGAATTTTTGAATTTGATCATCACTTTTAAGATACGTCGTTATTATTATTATTAATGTTGTCGATCACTCAGAATGTATGGAATTTTTGGCGCAAGAGGCACTAGGCGATGCATAGTTGGATGCATTCGGAAACACCAATGTCGAACGCAGTCATTCTTTGCATTTTACACATTCTACACTCCGCAGACATCAGGAGTGCGTTTGGAGAGCGCATTATCAGTGCTATTTGTGTCATACTATCCTTGTTTCTTGAGAGCGAGCGTGACAACGCATTGGTCTGCTATGTTAGAGATCCCGAGTTCGGTTCCCGGTAAAACCAAAAATATTTTCATATGCTCGTATCTCTTCTCGGAAGGAAACGGCAATCCATCGAGAGTATCTTTGTCAAGAGCACTTTTCTAGTATAATTTCGTCGTTCGGAGTCGACGTTAAAAACTGTAGGTCCCATATAATTGTGTACCATACAGCCATCGTGTGCCTCATAAGTATATGAGAGAAGTCATCACGCTCGGCCACAAGCAATAGGACTGAGAAGGAAGAATATCCTTGTTTCACGTCTATAATCTCAATAACGATTGAACCGATCAAATTCCATGTATGCTCAATGAGTATATACGAAACGAAAATGAGGTTATTTTATGTTCATGTCATGTCGTGAATGAAAATTACGATCTAGTTTTAAGAAATGTAATGGAGCAAGCACTGTGAGTAATAACGAGCTTCTTTTCCACGCAATCCGTATTATAAGTTTGATCACGCATTCGCAGAGAAATTGAACGAATGCGTGTGGGTCTCAGCATATGCATGTATACATACGCGCGAAAAATACTATCGATGATTATTCATTGATTCATTGATAAAAAATGTACCATTCGGTGCGTTTTTTTTTTGTGAAACGGATAAATCAAGCAGAAAAAAGTGTCGTTCAATTATATTAAATTAGTTATTAAATATTTAAATATATATATATATATACTTAAATATTTAATTAAAAATTAATGATAAAAATTATGAGGAAAAACGCGAAGCTCTTAATTAACTGAGAATTAATTCGTGTCCCCTTTATGCATAAAATGAAAATCCACTTTTCTAGACAGTCACTAATTTTCAATATTAAGAAGGAGAGTGTGAGTTAACACGATAGATACAAATTTTAATGGAATAAAAATTCGTCCCTCTCGACATTCGTTTTCTAAATTGAAATGTTTTAAACGTTTGTCTTTCAAACCTTTTGAATTTGTACGTGTACCTATCCGCCTTTGTAGAGTGGATTGATGTATCGATGTCATCACTACGCTACACTCTGATTCAATTCGTAAAAGCTGCGCGTGGCTCGGCTCGCGTGGGCATACCTTGTTAATTGAGCATTGTTCAGATCGTTACGTCTATACGGCGTAATGGAAAACGATAGCTGTGGTTTGCAATGCGACACGCCGCCGCGATAATAACTCCGAAAGGGCGAAACACGCTTCGTTATGGATATTCTCTAACGAATCGATGCGGCAGAGAAACGTCGGTTATGCGTCGACAGCACCTGCGACGGAAAAAAATTGCAATGATCCAGGGATCTCTTGTAGCGTTTCGTCGTTTAATAAACGATTGGGTGTACTTGGCGGACAATCGTGAATACGCTCCTTCAAATGCGTTCTCTATATAAAAAGAGTTCCCTCAAATACTCCGTTTGACATTTAAATAGCTGCACAATTGACATAATTTCTATGTACATAAAAAATCCAAAAAGATCTTTTTTTTATTTAATTTGATGAACGTGACAAAAATTCCACATGTATGCATGTAAAGTTCATAATTTTATTCTTTTTGGAAATATTTAATCATGATTCATGTATGAATAATAATATAATTTTAGTTTTTGTATTTTTGCCATGTAGTTTATGCGATATTGACTTGGGAGTGTAATTGTATTCTGTATTTTATCATTCGCTTTTATTCAAAAGCAAGTAACAGAAACCAACAATCAGTATACAATTAATTCAAATCTACACATGTGAAAGAGAAGAAAAAAGAGAGAAAGCGACAGAGATTTTTCTAATTTTATTTCAAAAAAAACTTAGGAACTATAAAACTATAATTTTTTTTTATCTCTAGCAAGAATCCGCAAAACTTTTCACAGTAATCGCCCAAGATTTATCACACTCTTATGTCACGAGGCAACATCTTCGCGCCTTTCGCCCCTTTCAATTTCTAATCACGTCCAACTGTTTTATTATCTTTTGCTGAGTCTTGAAAGTTTCAGTAGCCAAACTTGTTGCAATTTGCTGCAAGTTCAAATGATTTGGCAAGAAATCTCCCGGCAGGAAACTCCGCACCAACGTACATCTCTGCCGTATTTCCCGGCAGACTCATATACAGCGGACTAATTTATTATGCAATGCACGAGGTTAACCGTATTCGAGAATTTTTCATTGCTTAAACCTTTTTGCAAAATTCATATGAAATTCGTAATATTTGTACGTAGCAAAATATTAATTTTGATATACAAGAAATCCCAAAAATAATGTGCGAAAGAATTTAAAGTACATATAGTTATACGTGTCTGGGTATATTTACATTTGAGAAAAATTATCGTATGAGAAAAATTATGTTAAAGTAAAAAATATATTTAAATTTAAATTCATAATTTTTAACTCTTAGTACACAGACGACTTTTTAGTCTCACATTACGATGAGTTCTGTTTCCAATTAATTTTTCGTTACTTTTACATTAACTCTTATAGTACGCACAATTGGGTTATTTGTGTCTTATTTATTTCTTTGAAATATCAAGAATACTTGGCAATGCATTTTATCCTTATCTTTTTCTTTTTTTTTAAACACACAACTTTAAAAATACGTTCTAAAACATTTGTAAAAGTATATGTTGAAGTATAAAAGTCATTTAATTTTTGTATATTTAAAAGTGATAAAAACAAGTCAAAACGATCCATCATGTGTAAAGGATCGGATTGTGTAATTAAAGATTAAATATACAAAAATTCTTACATATACTCTTTAACATCTTTAGAAAATATTTGTAAGTTTCTCTCTCTGTATTTAAAAAAAATATGTATACGTATTATAACTAATTACTTGATGTTTCTTATTTCAAAGAAAAGAAATATGCAAGACATCGAATGACCCAATTATGTATACTAATAATTAATTTTGATATTACGAGAATTTTATTTTCTTTTTTGTTCATATCAAGAGAAACATGTATTATAGAACACGAATTAAATTATTTATAATTATAGAACATTTCTTAATTTCCTGCGAGATCATCTGATGGTTCACATAAAACGATCATTTCTTCTCAAAATGCGAAATACTTGAACGAAATGTTAAATTGCCGTTAACGAACATGCGAAGATAAAAACACCAACTTCCGTCGTTTGAGTTTCACCAATCTATTTTCGTAGATCGGCGATATCTCTCGTCAACGGGAATCCATCTCGTTTCGGTAAACGTGATAAGGGAGATTTATCCTGTCTTCACATTGGGAAGCGCGATTAATCTTCGGTGTGGCACGGTCAGCGACATCGAGCATATTTCCAGCTAGGTTTATACTTTGCCGGTTTATAAATGAAATCCAAATACAAATCGATGGTTCGAAAATGGTTCGCGTGCTCGCTATTCACGGCCGAGAATCATCCCCGGAAAATAAATTGGAAAGTTTCGACTAGAATCGACCGACCGCGCGTTTCGTTTCCGCGCTACGCTTTTATAGAATGCAATTGCACGGAACTCGTCCGTGGTCGCACTGGCTGGTAAATCATTCTCGGACAAACGCCGAAATATTTGAAACATCGAAAAGCAAGGAAATTGCACGGAAAAACAGAAAGGTATTTCTTAATTCTTTAATGTGATTCGCCTATAATATGTTTTCGTTGAGAAGCTCATTTAATCAAATCAAACAAAATTTGATTGGATCAATTAAATCTTTCGTTTGGATACGGGCAAATAAATCCTTTAATCGACATAACAAAATAATATAGTTAGAAATTTTTTTATTATAATTGAATGAATCTAAATTTTTGGTTGGTATTTTATTCCAACTTTGTTCACATTAAACCAAATTTGTAAGTTAATATTATTAAATTTTCTTATTAATTTTGCATCTATAACTAAAATTAGAGTGTAAGAATTCCGGAACTGGGATAGAAAATCGTTAACGCTAGCCGAGTCATCTATAGAAATTCTAATGGAAGCCCGAAAGAGTTCACTTTGATGAAAGAGAGGATGTGTCTACTCGACACTGTCGATGACTGT